AACTGTTCCTTGCCGGACGGATTGTCATCGGACTGGGCACCGGGGTGGTTACGGTGGTGGCGCCCGTCTACACGGCGGAGATTACCCCGGCGAGTTTACGAGGAGCCGCTGGGACCCTCCCCCCGATTATGTACGTCCTGGGGTTAATCGTCACCACGGCGATCGGGTTCCCGTCGGCGCTGGGGACGGAAGCGGGATGGCCCTGGCTGGTCAGTATCGTCGTCATCCCGGTGGTGGTGTCGTGTATCGCGCTGCCCTTTTGCCCGGAGAGTCCGCGGTACTTGTACATCGAAAACAATGATGAGCACCACGCCGCGGAAGCGCTGGTGTGGTTCCGAGGCACCTCCAAGATCCAGGACGAAATGGAGGAGATGCACGTAGAGATCGACCACATGAAGGGATTGCGAAAAGTCTCGGTGTGGGGTCTCTTCACCGATCCATACCTCCGGAAGATCAGCATCCTGACCGCCGTCCCTATGCTGGTGCACCAGTTCTGCGGATTCCACTGCGTGACCTTCTATTCCACGTCCATCTTCGAAAGTGTCGGATTGCGGCAGCTGTACTCGGTGTATGCCACGATGGGCGTCTGGTGTTGCTACTTCGCCTCGCTGTTCATCTCCATGTTCCTGGTGGACCGGTTGGGACGCCGGACGCTCCTATTGATTAGCCAGTGCGGGATGATCGTCGCCCTGATTCTGTTCGTCATCTTCGCCTGCGTCACGGAGAGCGGTGTGGAGGGAACGCAGTACGGCAGCGCGGCGTGTCTGCCCTTCTTTATTGTATGCTTTGCGCTGGGCTCGGCGGCTATTCCCTGGATCCTCCCGGGGGAGATGTTCCCGCAGGAGGCCCACAGCTCCGCGGCCAGTTTTATTGCGTCGGTGTCGTGGGCATCCGCCATCCTGACGACCTTTCTATTCCCCATTGTGGAGCATGCGGCGAAACAGTATACCTTCTTGATTTTCGCCGGCTTGGTCATCCTGGGAACGGTGCACGTGGCTTGGAAGCTGCCGGAAACCAAGGGGAAAACTATCGATGAAATACAGACCAGTTTGCATGGTGAACGGCTTATTATTGAGCATGCGCCGCATGAGTGAGCGGCACGCAGCGCCTGGAGGAAAAACTCGCGCTATTAATTATTGATATTTAATGGCTGAAACGTCCGACTTTATTTCCGGTGTCAACGCTCCGTAATCGTTATGCAATCCGCTTTTTATTTCTTTGCTACTGTGTAGCAGCGCTTTGAAATCAAGCCATACAGATAGAAAATTATACTGGCAAAATAATAAAGAAATTTGCAATCTGAAACACAAATAAAAACTGATATGAGGAACAGAAAAAATATAAAGTAGAAAACGCAGTGTAAAATAGAAAGAAAAATAGAAAAAGCTTTTAAAGAATTATTACGAATTGCAGTTATACAGAAAACGAATTATTTACGTAAGAAATAAACTATTGTCTAAGGATAGCCACACTGTCAGCAGCCGCTACGGTAATCGATTGCGGCACTACCGGGGATATTCTTCCAAATTTTGTCCAGCCACAGCTTAACAGCATCCGCAAATCTTTCAAACAAACCAGAAGTATCAGCGCATCCGTTGTTGGCTGCCACAAACGGGTCACCATGGCCACCTGCTCCAGCGCATCCAGTCCATCCACGTTTAAATAAAACAACACGGTCACCAGTTCAATCATTCCGAACGAAATCAACATCTGTACACTCATTAACAATAAAATCCAGATGGCGCTGTTGTACATGTTGCGCTGGCGCTGCGCGGTGGACTGTACGGATCGATAGCGACAGTACAACGCGGTAATACACGGATACGACACAATGGTGAGGGCCACCGGAATCACGTACACGATCATCTGCGGAACAATAATCTGCGCGCTCTTGTACACATGTAACGGATATTCACAACGGAAGCGGTTACCAATCCAGATAAAATTATGCAGATTAAGGATGAAGGTCGGAAGATAGCCGATATGAACGATAACAACGGCCGCTAAACAAAGAACTACCGCTAATTTTACCGTGTGATGGGTTTTATACGAAACCGGCCGGGTGATAGCCCATAGACGGTTCCCGGTGGTTAAGAGATGCGCATAGAAGAGAATCCCCGGGAAAACATTGTTAAAGTACTGGTGTATATCGCAGACGACAACGTGGGCGGGTGTTGTGCCGTATGTCGGAGACTGCGTAATTAAAAAAAGCGGCAAAGAGAAGATCGACAAAATAGCGTTGGTGGAGGTCATCAGGATGATGTACGTCATAAACGGTCCGCTTAAGCGCTTCCTGATAATCAGAAAGATAATTAATATGTTCAATATCGATCCAGTGACCGATGTTATTAGCGGTGTGAGGTAGTACAAAAACCAGTTAAAAGGGTCGTTAATTGTGGTAAGACTCGTTTCCGTACAATTAGTGATATTCACGGAAAAGTCGGGATCAAGGAAGGAAATATCCATTGGTTCTTGAAGAATTTACTTGAACAAGATGCTTCCCGGTATTTCAGAATTGACGAACGCTTTGCGCAATACAATTATAATTTTTATGGTGGATTCGGCTCCATGATCTTTTCCTCAATGCTACTTACACAGTTGGGTATTTGTTCCTACGCAGCAAGTTTCGGCGGCAGTTCTCCCTGCGGAATTAAAAGTGCTCACTGCGCAGGGCCATGTTCTACATACCAATCGTACCATTTCGTTAGCTCAATAACTGACGCTTTATTTAACCATGATAGGAAAAAATTACCCAGTTGCACAAAAAGCAGATTGTTGCTAACTCAACGCGTCTCTCTTTCCTTTGTGTTAACTGCTATGTTAACTCTCTTATCCTTTCTGCGTTCGCAAGCTGCAGAAAAACATTAACGCAGCCCTGAATTGTAAAATGGATGTAAAAGCCAGTACATGGCTAACCTGGTAAGTCAAACACAATGGTAACATAATATTTACGTGATAATACTGTATCAATAATATGGCTGCTCGCTATTTGGGTATTTCCTGGATCCCTCTCCATCGAAAATAGGGGTAACATTATCTGAAAAATATGGCTGATCGACATTTTCGGGATCTAAATTCTACAACGGGGACGTGTTGGCGAATGAATCATAGCCCTGTCTAATCTGAAATCGAGACTCTAGGGTAGGGAAATATCAGAATGTTCTGGTGATAAACGCTGCATAACATTTTCCGGAAATTTTAATTGAATATCCGAATATACTGAATTCACATTGAAATTGGCAAAAAACGCCATAAAACAGTTTTTTGGTTCAGTTTCATCCTGCAGTATGTAACTACTCACAACTATTTGCCCTTTACAGAAAGCGTCAAACAGAATATCGATGACCCGGCACTTGATGCGCGACTATGCTTGAACTTCTTTTATTTAATTTGTCATATTTTAATAACTGTAGGTTGCGCGAGAAATACAAATTGCCTGACTGTATTATGCTATAAAACACTGCAAAAATCAGTACTTGGTGCGCGAAAGCAGATGCTTCAGCGAATGCGTGCAAGATTGGTACAATGAACCAGCAGCCTCTTCAGATCAGGGCCATATACACTCGGTCATAGGATACGTTTTTAAGATAACCGTAATTCTCTGACACATATATCGAGTTCAGTCATAATATATTATATTGTTATGATAAGCTTTTCACCGCAACCGTCGCTGTAGAAGGGATTTGCGGCTGGCTAGCACGGCGCAAGCAGGAACACTGCAGCTGCCTGCGTAGATCCTTTATCGAAGTCATTAGAATTGCGGCGTCCACTGTCGGCTGCCACTAAATGGTTACCAAACCAGCCAGAAACGGAACCTGCAAACTACCATTAACGTCCATGCCGGCCATTAGCAGCACATCAACCACCTGCACGAAACCCATCGAAAAAAGCATGGACACCGTCATACCCACCAAAGTCCACATATAGCGCTGCGACTGCGTTGACGCTGAGCTTCCGAATGGAAAGGCACGGCGACGACAGTACACGCCAATCATTACCGGATACGCCACCAGCATTAACGCCGTAGGAAGCGAATATACGATGATCTGCGGAATAACGATTTGAGCGCTGTGGAGGGTTGCCAGATGATGAAAACACTGGAGTCTAGCGCCGACGTGAGTATAGTTATGGAGATTATTAAGATACGTCGGCATGTAACCAATGTGCACCACACCGATGGTTGCGCATAGTATCACGGCTAAGCGTGCTGAGTGGTGATTTTTGTAGGAAACCGGTAATGCGATCGCCCACAGCCGGTTGGCGGTTATTAGCAAGTGGACGTAAAACACCAGACCGGAGAATACAAGATAGAAATACTGGTGCAAGTCGCAGATGAGTACATCAATCTCACTGCCAGTCGTTCCATAATCAGGAGCACGTATCAGTAACATTAGTGGTAGGAGCGTTACCGATAGAACGGCACTACAGGCGGCCAGTGCGGTGACATGTACTGTACCATAAACGGAGTCTTCAGACGATTTCTAATAATAAGGCACAAAATCAAGAAATTCGAGAAAAAACCGGTAACAGAAGCCGTCAGCGGCATCAGGTAGAACAATATCCAACTCGCTGTGTCCTGGACAGTCGTGGTAGTAGTTCCGTTGCTGCTGGTTAAATTTAAAAAACTGACCATATCGGCGTTGTTTTGCTTGCCGAGATAATGATTTAGTTATCCCGATACCCGCACAGGCCGCACTGCTTAGCGTTATCGGGAAGCAATGACTGCACACGTTTCGCGACGACAACGGTAATTTCTTCTGTTGAGATATTCTGCTTAATGCTTATGCTTGTTGAACTTGTTGAATTGTTGGTTTAATAATTTGCACTTTAGGATGCCTTTGCTAGGTATTTCCCGAAGCGTGTCGCTACGGGAGTTACCGGAAGTGCTGTTTTGTTGATATAGTATTCAGAGAGAAGGAACTCACAGAGATGGAAAATACTGCCTGATGGAATTCAACGATAATATTGCGCGGTGTTCAGCAGGGCAGACTTGACCGTTATGGCTAAAGCCAGATAATAATATAAAGTAAAGTAACTACTATATAAGTAAACCGTAATAATACCTGCATTCCTATATATTTGTAGCTGCGATCTGCGTGTAATTAAGAGTAAAATTATACGACAGTTGAAATGACGTGAGGATTACTACAGTATTTTTTGGCTGAATAATTATTAAATGAGAATTCAATACAGCAATATCACAGCCAGGTTTTCTTAAGTTAGTTGTCGTTAACGGTGTTATCAATCTTGCCGGAAGCCCCCGCACTTTTTGCACCAACTTCGCGGAGCCTAGTCTTTTGCGGTTGTAAATCGGCTAAAAGTTTTGTAAGCACGCTGCTGTTTTATTGAGCCAGTAACGTCAGAGCATATAAATTAGAAGCATATTTAACTAAACAATAAATATGCTTCTAATTTATTGTGATGACATTTGGAAGAGAAGCAAGCTTAAATATGAGCGAACAATAAGTACAGCCGCCATATTATAGTTATATCGAAAAGTCTTGGTCCTTCGGTCTTTTGAAAAGAACTTTCAACGAACCAATCAACCCTAAAGCAATCGATGGTGGGCTGACACTGTGCGGCCACGGAGGCTATCGGCCACCTACCCGAAATATCAAGACCTTTAACAAAATCCATACCGGCAAAGAACAGCACATTCACCAACTGGCAACTGCATCAATCCCATGGAAAACGCCATGGACACGCCCATCTCCACCATAATCCACACGACTAAAGGATAGTCCCAGTTAAACAAACATACCGAAGAGTATAACCGAGAAGATTGATTATGAAAGTCGACAGATAGCAAACAGGGCCCACTGCAGTTCTTAACAAGCAAAAGGTCACGGCCAGTACCGTCGAGTGATAATTTTTATATGAGATCGGTGCCGTAATGGTCCATAATCGGCCGGCTGTACTAAGCACGTATATATAGAGTAAAATACCCGTGAAGACTAAATTAAAATACCGAAAGATGTTGCAGTTTGTTAAAAAAGTTTTCTGCTGAAGCTGGCAATTGACGCCCATGTAATTTAACTATGACAGAAATAAATTAGCCAGTTTGCAAAAAAAGCAGATTATTGCTAACCAAAGCTTATATTACGCGCCTGCTCTTATTCTTCGTGCGTTCGCAAACTGCAAAAAAACAGTGAAATAATTTCTAAATTGTCAAAGTCAAAGTCAATATTAGGCTAATTAATCAAACAGAAAGGTAAATCTTTTCACGTTGACGTGGTAATACCAATGACCTTGGCACCTCGCTAGTTGAATATTTCCTTGGTCTCTCGATCGCAAACAGAGGTAATACAGTATATCTGGAAAG